CACAGTTCAGCCCCCCACCTCCTCCACTGAAGATTCACCACGTTCAGCATGTTATTCAAGCAGCTCCTCCAACACCCCCACCGCCTCCTGTCCCTGCACCCCTCCCTCCCCAAGCCCCCCCCAAACCTCTAGTGACAATGCCACCAACCAGCACCAAGACTGTGCCACCTGTTGTGACACAAGCTGTGCCACCTACACCCACTCCTCCAGTTCCCCCAGCAAAAAAGCAGCCAGCTTTTCCCGTTTCTCACGTTCCACCCTCTCCTGCTGCTCCTGCGGGTCCAGTGCCCCCACCCACCTTTCCCAAACATCAGAGCTTCTGTGTAAGACCGCCTCCCTCTCCGCTGTCCCCAGTGCCCTCCACAGTGAAGCAGATAGCCAGCCAGTTCCCCCCGCCTCCCACCCCTCCCCCCATGGAGTCGCAGCCCTTAAAGCCAGTCTCAGCCAGTGTAGCCCCACAGTCCCCTCCTGCTGTGAAAGCAAAACCCAAGTGGCAGCCCAGTTCAATCCCTGTCCCTTCTCCAGATTTCCCTCCTCCTCCTCCTGAGAGCAGCCTGGTGTTCCCTCCTCCTCCTCCTCCTCCTCCACCACCGCCACCACCACCACCGCCGCCGCCGCCGCCAGCCCCAGCCCCAGCCCCAGCCCCACCGCCACCACCAGTTACACCCACAGCTTCTCCTGCCCCTGACAGAAGTGGATCTCCAGGCAGAAAGACCAGTAAGACGTCCAGCCCTGGGGGGAAGAAGCCTCCCCCAACCCCACAGCGGAACTCCAGCATTAAGTCCAGCACTTGTGCAGAGCACCCTGAGCCTAAGAGACCCTCGGTGGACAGTCTAGTCAGCAGGTTTGCTTCGCCAGCAGAACTTTCAGGGTCTCCCAGCAAGGAGACCCCACCACCGCCTGCAGCACCCCCCAAACCTGGAAAACTAAATCTTTCTGGAGTTAACCTTCCTGGAATTCTCCTGCAGGGTGGTGTGGCAGCAAAAGCACCTGTCATAAGTGGCCGTGGCAAGGACTCTGTGGCAGAATTCCCTTCTCCTCCCTCAGACTCTGACTTTCCACCCCCTCCACCTGAAATCGAGCTGCCTCCACCTCCCATAGAGATCCCAGCGGCGTTCTCGGGAAACACTTCTCCCAAAGTGGCAGTTGTTAATCCTCAGCCACAGTCATGGTCCAAAACGTCAGTGAAGAAGGCCCCTCCACCCACACGGCCCAAACGGAATGACAGCACCCGCCTCACTCAAGCAGAGATTTCTGAGCAGCCAGCCATGGCCACAGTTGCGCCACAAGTGCCCACCTCGCCCAAATCCAGCCTTAGCGTCCAGCCTGGATTCCTGGCTGACCTCAACAGGACACTGCAACGAAAGTCCATCACCCGGCATGGCTCGCTCTCCTCCTCCCGCATGTCCAGAGCAGAACCCACAGCTACCATGGATGACATGGCATTGCCCCCACCGCCCCCTGAACTGCTTTCTGATCAACAGAAAGCTGGTTACGGAGGCAGTCACATATCAGGCTATGCAACGTTGCGGAGAGGACCTCCTCCTGCTCCCCCCAAAAGAGACCAGAACACCAAGCTCTCAAGAGACTGGTAGTTACTGCAGGACTTTATCATCATGGTGTCTGTAATCAGTTCTACAATCAGCTCACCTGATCATCTAGGAAGTCAGGTATTCAGAGCCTCCTGGTATGTTATTCAGGTAGTGTCCCGCTGTGTGTGTGTGTGTGTGTGTGTGTGTATACACACACACAGCTATACATAAGATTTTGTGTGTGTGTGTGTGTGTGTATAACTGAGAGTGATTCTATTTATTTCTTTTCTCTCCTAATCTGAAAATGGGTTTTATGTGTTTTGGGTGGATGAGGCACGGAAGGGGATGTGTGTCCTGTCCCTTATGATTTCTATTATCATGTGGATTGGACCAAAAAAAAACTTCTGATGACTTATGTAGAAGGTATTTTTTAAGAGTCCATGTATGGCCTATCTGTGCATGTTGTATATTATCTGTTAAGGAATAGATGTATAATGTGCTGTTTCTCAGTTTGAGAAGACAACCAGAATGTTTGGTGTTATCTGTGGGGCTTCTCTGTTCTTTCCCCCAGTTGGCTGAAGTTAGAACTGCCTGACTGACATTTCATTACTATACATAAAGGGGCACTTTAAATCAGGAAAATCTCTTCACTTCATAGAACGGGTAAATAGTGCAGTATGGGGAAATTTTCGGACACTATCTGTACCTGGTTGTGCACAGAAAGTAAATATGCGGCATAACTAAACCATTCTGGTTGTAATACTGCTGCAATGATCCCACCCGAATCTAGGATGTGCTCTGTCACAGGTAAGCTCTTTGCCTACCGTACATTGATAATTTAGTACTATAATCCTGGATAGTTCTTTTTATACTGCTGGAATCTTTTCATGGGCTGTGTGACGCTTCATCAAGCTTGGTGATCCTTCTTTGACTTATTGTGAGAATATTCAACACAATACCTTGGAATGCTCAGTCCCAGTATGTCTTTGGGTCACCAGTTATGTGCTTTAGGTAGCTGTTGATATTAGGTATCTGTGGACAGTTGCTATATCAGATATACCCATCCTGTGAACAGTACGGTGCATCATTATGAAAAACAAAAACACCTTCTGAAATGTGTCTTTTCTGTGTATTGCTCTCTAGAAGGATGGGGTGATTAAAAGAGAACAAAACTGGCCCCTGTACAGGTATCATTAATCAGGTCGTATATGAATTGTAATGTGTAATACAAAGAATTCCTTTAACTAAGGGACTATCATAAAGGGAGAGGGGAAAAAATAAGGTTTGTTGATACTAGAGCACACTAGGACCTTTGCCTGTTGTTGCCTGGTTGTGGAGATTGGTCCAGGTGTTCTAATAAAGAAGTGTAGTCCAAGTATAGTAAGTGACATGACATATTATGCATGTTCAACTTGGCATAACATGAAATCATTGCTCTAATAACACACTATAATTCTGTATGCTTCACACTACACTACTGTTTTTTTTCCTGTGAATTTTCCTTGATATCTGAGAGAAATGTGATGATAAATTGTTAGGAATGCAATCTCAGAGCTGCTCTTAAAAGAATAAAACCTAGCCATCCCAGCAATGGTAAATGAGCACATCTTGTAATGAAAGTCTCTGCCTGTTGTAACTAAGGATTGCCAATGTAAAGTGCAAAAATCTTTGACACTGTCCTGAAAGGAAAAAGTGATTCCAATGCAATGGGGGAAGATAGTAAATAGTCCAAAAAAAAAAAATTAAAGTTGTACTGTGTACACAAGACACCCATATAACCCATTCTCCAAGAAAGTATTGTGTCATAAAGAGAATTGGTGACACCTCTCCTTTGCCATATCTCCGGGATATTGTCCAATATATTCATGTGGTTATAGAGCAATAAGAATATATATACCATCGTGTATTTTTTTAAAGCCTTGCTCCTTTAAAATATACTTTTTGGATATTTTCAGTGGTTTACAAAGTTTTCTGTGCTTGATATTGTTATGCTTATGAAGTGACCTTTAACACATCTGCATTATTAATTTCAGCATGCACAGCATTTTGGGTAATGTTTGAGTATAGATTGCCAAGCTCCACTGTGACTCATGAGTGAAGTGATTTCCCATAGTCTCTGCCTGCGGTTTTATATTCTAACAATCATCCTTATTTGTGGGGTAAAGAATTAAGAATATGAAGCCAGTGATACATTTGTCACTATGGTGTTTGTGGTGGGTTTCTTTTACATGAAGGTGGGTAACTTCGATTTCAGTCATGTACCTTCAAATCAACCTTCGTTCATCCATGGTGAGAGCCCTAAAACACAGCTTTTGTTTTTTTCAGTGTGAGTTTTTCTGAGACTTCTTTTTTGTGTCAGTCTTAATGATAGCCATCCTGGACTGATGCTTTTGGTGTATCATTTTCTGAAAGAGCAGACATCTTTTAGATGGGGGTCCCCAACCCCCAGGCCGTAGACCAGTACTGGTCTGTGGCCTGTTAGGAACCGGGCCGCACAGCAGGAGGTGAGCGGCGGGCAAGCAAGCAAAGCTTCCTCTGTATTTGCAGCCGCTTCCCAGCGCCAGCATCACCACCTCAGCTCAGCAGGCATTAGATTCTCATTGGAGCACCAGTCCCTGGTGCCAGAAAGGTTGGGGACCGCTGCTTTAGAGGTGGGACAGAGGAGGAACTGTCATTTTTATCCCAATCCAGTGGCCTGTCTGACAATAGGTTGTTTCTCTCTACATTTCTCCAAAATGGAGAAGGCTATTATTAATCAACTTTTCCTTTGTTATGGGTTAAACAACTGAATCAAAAAAAAAAAAAAAAAAACCACACAAATACTTTACATTATACTTCTAGTGATTTACTGCCTGGTGGGTTTTTTTAAAACTGGATTTTTGGGGGGATATAGTTTTGTGGGGGTTTTTTTTTGTGTTTTTTTTTGGTTTTTTTTGCGACTATGTTTTTGTAACTGCTCCTTTTCTCTGATGTGTTTATGGTAAACACCTACTGCCAGATGACACTAGCACTGTGCCTTCTTTCACTGCCTTCTGCTCAGCAGCTCTAACCCAACATAGCTTCTTCAGGTCGGAGAAGAAAATCTGGACAGTTGATTTGGCTGTACTAAACAGCATGGACGACCTCAGCCTGCTATTGAGGGCAGTGCAGATGGGGGCCCTATTAGAGCTAGTGACCTGTTTACTTGTGGCACCCTTAATTTAACTTCTACCACAATTTCAAAATTGAATCACCTTGTACTTAAAGTTTTGGCACTGACTCTGAAGGTCAGCAACAACTTACATCAGGTTCATAGGTACTACTATAAATGTTAGACTATTCTCTATTGAAATTTTATCAGCTTGGCTTTTACTACTCAAATATATTTTCTTTCCTTACTGTAATTCACTTGGGAAAAGTAACTCTTCCTAAGGTTTTTACAGATACCCATTTAACTGTAAATTAGATTTTTTTTTTTTTAAATTTCTGAGACTTTAAAATGAGAAAGATTGCTCTTTAAAGTTATAGGAAATGATTTTTATCAGGAAATTTCAGAGTAATATAGACATGGTGTTTTACAGTCCTCTAAAATCAAGGTGCTCCTGGCCACTGAGATGGCACATTCTGTTAAGGGCTGTGAACTATCTTGGAAGTCCCCTTATGTAAATTTACTTGCCACTTAAAACAGTGCTAAGTTTATCAAGAAAGTTAATCTAAACAAAACTGGGGGATCATGAATAATAATTTCAGTATACTGACAATTCTGAGATTAAGATTAATAGGAGCAGTGCATCTATTTAGAGTTTCAAGAGGTGCTATTTTGGGAGACTATAGCTGCTAATAAGCATGGGTCAAGGATGTATTTATAAATTAGCCTGAAAAAAATTCAGGGAATGATGTGGATTATGATTTGACTATAATGCCACCAACAGAACCTTTTGTCAGCTTTTCCTCAGTTAAAAGCAATTTTATGTTACAAACATAAGTGAATTTAAACAGGTAAAAAGTATTTTCCTAATTTTATGTTATTACCAAACTTTTTCATACATCTTCAGGGCTAAAATTATAACTGATATAATCTCACAGATTTTGTTCAAGTTTAGACCAGTTAAACCTGTATGACTAGGTAAACTTTTGTGACTACTCACAAAGTTGAGATTTGATCTACAGAGAGATGCAAGTAGAACAAAATTAAAAGTATCCCAGTCTCTTAAGATTTATTTTCCTTTAAAAGGTCAGTAGAACATTTATTTCTACACCTTTACCAACCTATCCCTCAAGCTAAACACATACTCCGTTGCTGTGCCCTTGGAAGGTCTATATGTAAAAGAAATCTGAAATTTAGCTGTAGAATAAACTTGCTAAATAAAAATAAGCAAAACAAGATACTTGATAAACACTTGAAGGAAAAAAATCTCCAACTGATTTGCTTTTTGCAGTAATGAACTATTTAGAAGAGAAAACAGTATTTGCTATAATCCCCAGTGCCTTGAATTCTTTTGGAATAGCATAAAAAAAAAATCCAACAAGCAAACTTTGAGGTGCTAATGAAAGAGAGGGAAGGTATTTCTAGTTTATACAGAAATAGAAAAAATGACTATCATCTCACCAGAGATGGTTTCCTCTACCTAAACGGGGACTGGCTGCTTTCTACCAAAGACATGGAGAGAAGTGAGTTGCGTCAGGGTGACAGTGAATACTACATATTTAAGAGATGGCAGATTTCAGAAGTATGTTGATCATAGATGGCAGTTAACACGAAACTCATAACTGTTGATGCCTCAACCTCTTTTTAAGTAGAACATGCTTGAAACAAAGGAAAAAATCTTGCATTTTGGGAACTGTCCATTGTTTGTTAAATTTACTGTAACCTAATACCAAAAGCTGCCATTTTCCATGATTCCCGCCCCTGTATTTTTTCTCTATTGTAAATAATCTTAGAAAATAAGCATTAACTGGAATGTTTTAAATGATTTTGCTTAATTTTATTATCGGCCATTAGTGAACTCCTTTTATAGAAATGTACATTTAAAATATTAGCTTGTGCTTAATGTTGTAAAAAGATTGTTTACTGTTTAAAGGAAAATTACACATTATATTTAACTGGGATTGTTCCTTCTCTTCCCATGTCTTTAAAAAATTGAGTCAAGGCTCACACTGACATCTAGCCTGTGGGAGCTTTGCTATAAATAAGTAAATAGATACAGTGTAGGAATATACTTTTTTAAAGCATGACAAAGAAGGCAAAAAGAACTGCATTATAAAGTACCTGATAGAGGATATTATTCAAACAATTATGCACAGCTTGGTAAAGATGAAGTTACAATTTTTCTTTCAGCTTTGTTGCTGTTATTCTGCTTAAATGTACGCTCCCATTTCATTATGTGCCTTGCTTCCCGATTGTGCAAACCTATATATATAGATAGATATATATAGATATATATGAGAGAAATATATTCAGTACTACTGACGATGTTTTTGTTCTACTGCTGGATTAAGTTATTTTCCAAGTTACTCTTGCCAGTTACTGTCAGTGAACTATTGTAATGGCTTAGGACATTAGTCATACAGTCAGTGTAAATTTTTCAGTTATGTTTTCACTATGTCAGCTTACCCAATCCTTAATAAAAAGAATACATAGATTTCATTTAAACATGAGGGTCTTTACTTGACTGTTTGTGAATCGGCACCATTAAGAATCTGATTTTGCTGTTTATGTTGGGGTACCCAGAAATAAGCTGTGCAATAAAAACTAAGTGCGATGGTAAATAAACTACAATTTGATGTATTCATTGGTTGACCTTTAAGTAAAGACTATACCAACAAACTAGGGAGCTTTGGTTATTAAATACATTGGCAATTAAGAAGTGATGATAACTGTTTACAAAGATGTTTTTCTTTACACAAAGTACAACTAGGTATAAACTAGTACAGGAGATCCTTTTTCTTCAAAGCTTTTGGTATCACAGTTGTGTTGGACTGACTGCTACATCAAAGTATGTATAAATGTGTATTCTATTTACAAATCACTGTCATTTACCTAAACTAGGGTAAAAAAATAGCAGCTCTTTTTATATTCAAATAATTATATGTGGGGGAAAGTGATCAGAAAACTTCAGGTTCACTTACAGCAAAAATAAGGATAGAAAATAATTATTTAGAACAGGTGTCTTGAAGAAGAAAAACTTCATTGAAGAAAAAAATCAGGTGAAAATTGTTTTAGGGCTCAACATTTTAAATATTTGAAGTTTTTAAGACTTAATAAAAAGGAGCGCCCTGACTTAAGGACTCTCTCCAACATGCTTACACTTACTTTAGAAAGAAGTTATTTGCATAAAAATATTCACAAGACACTTAAATAAACTTTGTGGGATTTTATTTAGGTCAAGTTCTTTTAGTACACAGCAACAATTCCAAATACAATTTTAAAATTAAAAAGTGAATGCTCCCCCCTCATATGGAGGTGGTTAATAGCACACAGAAACATCACTGGCAACAGACTGCTCCCTCAAGTTTTCCTGCACTGTTCTTTCTAAACTTAGAACACCAATCTTACCCCTCCGGGAGCTAAAAGTACAACTGGCCAGATCACAAACTGTTTACGTTCTTTTTTGTAAACCATTTTCTTAAGAAAAAAGATGCATGGACACAAAATATGATAAAAACTGCTTTTCCATAGAATTCTGAAGTTCCAAAAGACATTTCCATTTTAATGTGAAAATAAGCTTTTTGATTTTTTTTTTTTTTTTTTTACAAAAAAATCTCAAGATTTAGCAAGGATCATTTATACACAGTTAGGCCCTGTCGTTTCATTTGTCAATTTTCTTTAAAAGAATTGTGAGATTCTCAAATAGGAACAAAAGTGAGCATACAGAAAACTTTAGATAATGAGCTTAATGCCTCTGTTTAACACAGAACTGTTTTATGAGGCTCTCTCAAATAAGGCTGTTTGCTATGCTCCAGCCAGTCTGAAATATTTTTGCTATATACACCTAATGGAAAAGATAATTTTTGCTGAGTGTAGTTTTTGAAGGGTTAAAATGAAGATCTTCACTAAATAATGTTGTACTTAATACACTCCTTTAAACAAGTTTGAATACTCTGATGGTATTTATCAAGACAGCATATCTTTTCAAGTATCTGCCTGAAGACACCAAGTAGAACTCCTTTTAAGGAAACATACAGCACAATTGAGACCCTTATAGAAAGAGTACCAGAGCAGCACTGAGTCAGCAACTTGACCGGTATTAACTCGCTGTTATCTGAAATGAAACTCCTAACCTCATCAGTTAATGAGACAACTAAAATCTCATCTAGCTCTAAAATTCTATGACTAAGTAAATCATGTGAGAGAAATCATCACCTTATTGCCAATCAGGAGTTCCTGGCCAAAGAAGTTCGGAAGCGATTCAGATCCCCATTCTTTTCAAAGAGTTAGCAATCACCTGCCAACTCCTTCATTAAACTCTTTTCAAAAGGAAAGGTGCCCTTGCTCTCCACAGAGGAGAAAAAGTAAAACTAACAGTTCCTAATGCAGAAAGGTCATCTGCTAAAAGAAAATGAACACAGAAGGATAAAGGAAACTACCACCATTTTGATGCCTCTCAAACAAAAATCTTAAGTAATCATCTTTAATCAACATAAGACTGTTAAGGGGCACAGCTACATTACAGACATCACTGTAAAAGATGCACAAAACATTCTCTCTGGCTGGGTAATAAGCAGGAGGAGGGAAGGAGGGATGACATGTTTCACCTAGAGACGTGGGAACACAGCCGAAGCAGCAGGCCCTTGCCAACCCTACAGTGCCCCTGGCAGAGATAGGAAGTAGCCAAAAGATGGAAAATAAGGAACTAGACATCTAAAAAGATTCATATTTATTTCAAACAGGCTGAATCAGGTGTAGATTTTGACACATTAACACTTTTTGCTTTGGATTTACTGCCTTGGCCATAAGGCCAACAAGTTGACAACTATTTTCATTCACGTCCCCATGGCCTTTCAAACAGTAAAACCAAAAAATGATTTTTTAAGTCACTTAAAAAAAAAAAAAAGATAAAAAGAGTGAGTACCAAGTCAAGAAACATTTCAGGAAGAAAAATCCCCTCCCATGAATTCTCTCTGTCCTGATAATGCTTGCTTACTGGTCAGCAGATTTTAGATTTGGATCATCTTTGCCACAATATTGCGTAGCATGTAAAATTTCTACATTCACTCGGAATTCCTACTGCCAACCATCTAGTCTCAAAGTTCATAAAAAAAAAAAAAATGGGGGAAACTTACGTTAAACAAGAAATACTATTCTCACAGACTATAATAGCATGCAATCTATGAAATATTACATACATTAAAAGTCTCCAATTACTGTAGGCCTGGCCCATCATCATTACATAGTATCCTTCCAAGACAATATACAGAATTCAAAACTACAAAAATTTAAAATATGCAGAAAATCCACTAACAGGTATTGTTTAAAAAAAAAAAAATCACTCACATTAGTACTAAATGATATAGAAAAAATCGGTTGACTCTTGGATCCCCCGCTGGTCTTCAGTATGAAGGACTTCACCAGTGTCCTCTGCACTCCCCAGTCCAGCAGGGGTCCCACAGGCAAGCCGGTCACCACCAACTCTCGTTGCACAGTTGTCTTCTCTGCTGTAGTGTGAGCTGTGGGAACTATGTTGGATTTCAAAATACCTTCTGCCTTATTAAATCCACCTAGCTTTCTCAGCCAAAAGCTATTTAATAAGCTGGAACATCTAATTTCAAAACAGTTTTCCTAGTTAAAAACCAACACTATGAAGAATTTAACCTATACAAGTGTGGTCTAGGTTGGGTCCATAATGAAGCTGAAGGCTCAGAGGACACTCAGGGCCATTACTTTGAAGGAAAACAGAATAAAGGATGTCAAGCTGACCTAACAAAGCATGAAGTGGAATGTGGACCTGAGGCAAGCTAATGAAAGTTAAATTCAAAGTTTTAGAGACAGCTAAAAGCAAAATAGCTGTCTTGGACTATGTGGGGAGAAAACCCTGCAACATTAAAAAAGAAAAAAAGTCTTGATAAGGGAACTCTACATCTGGGTCTCAGTTAAATGGTGATGAAGTTTTGTGCTCAGATAACAAATTCACAAGTGGAATATTAACTTCTGCCTACACAACCTGAATTTCCTCACACTATTATGCATGTTCATTTTTCAAATTCCTCTATGTACTATCTCATGTTCAAGGCCTACATGTGAAATAGTTGACTCTTGAACAATATGGGGGTTAGGGACACTGACCCCCATGCAATTGAAAATCCACCTATATAGGTTTTGACTCCCCAAAACCCTGCTGATATCAAAAATCCTCAGATGCTGAAATCCCTTATATGAAATTGTGTAAAACAATGCATACAGTTGGTACATCACATCTGGATTCCCAAATGCGGACTTAAGATACTATTTTTGACCTGTAGTTGGTTGAATCCGCAAATGCAAAACCTGGGGATATGGAGGGCCAACTATATATCTTTTGAAAAAATTCCGCATGTAAGTCAAACTGTGCAGTTCAAATCTGTGTTGTGTAAGGATCAACTGTATTTGCAACTATTGCCTCTCCCCTTTGACCCAGCACAGGGAAGTTACCTGCCGAAGCGCTCCTCTGGCCAAGTCACTGGGACTGGGAAGAACCCATGACAGCTTTGGACCTGATCATGAGCTAGACCATCAGCACAGTATTCTATCTGCTGAGCAGCAAGCCCTCTTGGATTTTTTCAATATTTATTATACTGATTACAGAAGTGATGATTAAAGCCATCTGCCTTACAAACTCCACTGAATTTGAAGCTATTATTGGGCAGATAAAAAATATGGTGTTTCTCTCAAAGTTATCTCAATTTTTATGTTACTGAACAAGTACTTGGTTTTATCCCACTATTCTTAGTCTGAGATATAAAGTTCAAATTCTTAGCAAGAGCAGTTATTTCAGAGGCCAACCACAAAATCAAGAGATATTTACCTTTTCTAGAGTTAAGTGAGTAAACAGCTCAGCAGCAGCTAACACTGGCCATTTAATAACATTCCAAAAGCACAGTAGCGAGCCTTTTATTCCCAGTGACTATCAACAAACTTGAAAAATAACTGCTATTTTCCAAAAAAGTTTTTTTCTAAATAGTGAAGTAAATAGTTGGTCTGACTTCCAAGATCCTACTCCTCAAAACAGTGCCTAAGGCAAGGGTTCAGGATGCCTACTGAGCAGAATGTTTCTATAGTACAGTCTCTTCAGAACCTTTGCACCTAGCTTCACACACTCACTTCAGCATATGAACCAGGCTAGCGCACACATACGACTGGGTGTACTGGCCATCAGTGGCAATGCAGTCTCATGCAGCAGCAGCACATTTAAATCAAACTGGCAATTGTCAACCACCCTCGATGTTTGGAGACTCATTTCAATCACCCTCATAATCTACAAACTGAGAAACATAAAGGGATGCAAGTCAGTTTAGTATTAATTCTGGTGCACCCAAGTGCTGAGAGAATGCAGAATTTACAGTGATAAAGAGGAAATGAGCCATCTGAACAACTATAAAAATGGTTAAGTATGGTATTTAAAGAATGGTTCCCTCCTCCTCACACAAGTGGAAGACAGTGTGGGGCTAGGGTACTCAGTAGGCCATAAGGCTAACCCTTTAGCACAGGCACTGAAGAACATCCAATGCCACAGATTCTACAGGAGGAGAAATCCCATGGGTGTACAGTATTCCTGAGAAAGATCCCAGATTTTGTTCTGAATCAGTCTTAACCTGATTTGTTTTACATAGTTATGCTGTTATACCGGTGACAATTTCAGAAATGGTCACTTTATTTCATCCAGACAGCTCAGCATAGTACAAATGATGGCAGAAAGATCCATTTGCACACTCAGCTTGCTTGCTTGTTTGTTTTAATACTGGGGGATAAACTGAAAAAAACGTAAGTAGTTTTTATCATTTGTATCCTTCATTTGTATCCTTCATTCGTTTCACTGGAGGGGAATCCCAGGGCCTTTTGATAATCTGGGAAAACCTGACTATTCTTGTGAGGGAAACAGCCCTGCTGAGCTTTACTCAGAATAATGCATGATAGACTCAACGTAATTCCCAGGAAAGAGCCCAGTCACTCCATTCATAACTCCCTCATACCAACCATCGTCGTTCTTCTTGATGACATAAATAATGGCTCCTTCCTGAAAGGACAGCTCATCTTCTTTGTCTTTTGTATAATCATAAATTGCCACAACTAGAGGGGGAAAAAAATAGGATGTGAAAGAGAATAACATTCTCAAAAAGACAGAACCAAATAAATGAATATCCATCCTTTTCCAACTTCTGCAGTACTTTAAAAACACAGTGACTTTCTAAATAAACCAAAAAAAAATTTTTCCCCCAAATACCCAGTCCTATACAATGGAATCCTATCTTCTTGGGGAGATTAGGTTCGAAACAGTAGAAATGACAAAAAAATCAAAGTACCTTTCAACGGCCTATGGGGAAATATCTCATTGACAAGAGAACAATCCCAGAATCAGAAAAGATGACAATTTCTTCAGATGAGCTTGTGCTGAAGCACCATGTTGTGTAAAAACACATATCTTTTAAGCATTAGAATTATATTAGTGCAGTGAGCTATGAGAGGCAAGTGAGATAAAGGAATAGCAGATTTATGCCTTCCTCACTTTCTGGAGCCCATGTCTATTCACTGAACAGATACTGGTTGAATTCCCACAAGTTATACATGTGAATGATGGGAGTTCACTATATATAGTCTTTCAAAATACATGGTGCATATGGCACCAATTTAACACATTCACAGTAACAGACTAAAAGTGTTAAGAAAACCAAGATACCTGTAAGCTCTCCTGTGATTTTCATTGCTTAAATAACTCGGTAGGTAGGGCCTTTCAACAATATCTGTGGGATAATCTGTGGTTCCTAAGTATTACATCTACCTCAACAGTTCAGATAAATTAGGATACCCTATAACTTGCTCAAATACAAGTGAAAATTCATCTTTTTAATAAAAAGATCCTCTGTACTTTTTTGTATCACTCAGAATTCACTCATTAACAATCTCCACTCATTCTGAGGGAGATATAACTTTGTCAGTTTCTCATGCAACTGTAATCCTCATAAGTAAGAAACTACAACAGCAATTTTTGAAATAGTGCAACTTGCCCCAGTAAAGGTGTGTTTCTGGCTTGTTTAATAAAGTTAAATGGCTTTCTTAAACTCGAATATTCGCCATTATAGTGATCTATTAAGGATGTCAGAAAACACTTTAGAGGGGCCTAGGAAGAGTTTAGTGCATATTTCTCAAAATACAACCAAACCCCTAAACAAATATTATTAAATGACATACAAGTTTAACTATAAATATAAAACGAGATATGTATTTACTATTTCTAGTCGACTTAATATTTTTAGCTTTTTTTTAGTTAATAACATTCTCGATGCTTACAGAAATGTAAACCTATTGCAAAGTAATTCAGAAGAGGACATTCCCTGTTAATTCTGCCTCCTAATCGCTCAATCCAACACTTCTCTATCATAATCACTGCCCCCGTCAGTGCAGCAGTCTTTAAACTGGGGGTACCGGAAGATTTTCTAAGCTGTGTGAGTGCCAGATAATCTTTGGGAGACTCTAGAGTCTCAACTTTTATAAATACTATTCCAAAAACTAATCTGCTTGAGATAATACCTCTGGTCAGGCATCAGTCATAAAAAGTTCTCCTTTCCTGTTTATCATTCTCTCGCTTAACAAAAGTACAGTGGTGCACTGTCTTAAAATACAAAGCACTTCTGGGTGTCAAAGGAGCAATTCAAAAGACTGATGTCGTATTAAAGAGAACTACTCCACTGAGTAACCCAACCTGTTTGCAAGTTAGGTGGCTCCATTCCTTTGCTTTTAACAAAAATTAAGACTTTAGTCAGGTAACTCTGAAGGAGTTAAAAGATTTGAGTGACAGTGCCACATGGAAAATACTTCCATTGCATCTACTTATTATTGGAAACAAGGTTTTTGGCACCATTACTTTAGGTGAGACCCTCATCTCTTCCTTAGAAAGGTATCCTACCTGGTCTCCCAACCCGTTTTCCCATGTAATGTACTCTACGCTATTATCAGGTAACTTTAAAAAAAAAGTTTAGCTATAAGTACATGGGGACTTAACCTGCTTAAAAATCTGCCACAACTTTCCCTCTACCAAGAAAAAAACAAAAAAAAACAAAAAAAAAAACAAACACCTCAGCATGGTATTCAAGGCCTTCCATCACTAATTACAACTTACCTCCCCACTCTCCACTCATACTCCGGTCACTCTCCCTACAACCTACCCATGTCCTCTTGCACATGGCACTACTCGCCATGCCCCAAACAGCCATGCCCTTTCACTCAGAGAACTCCCTCTGCCTGGATGGCCCTTCCTCACTCTCTTCTCTGCCTATGAAACTCCCCCTCATCATTCAAGGCCCTTCACAAATGCCATGTCCTCCGAGAAGCTTTCTAGAATCCCCAGACAGAATTAATGGAACTGTTCATTTTTTTGACAATCATTAATGGAACATCCATGCTGATTTTTAGAGATACAGAGAGGAACAAGACGAGAAACTGTCATAGTCTTGTGGAGACAGAAATGTTATCTGATAAATTATCATACATTGTTGATATTTCCTACCAGGAAGTTATGTCACTGAGCTAGAAGAACATAAGAACTGATGGCTTGATAGAAGGATATAAAATTGGAACTAATAACTCAAAGTTTTCCAGGAAAAATTTAATGCTAGTAAACTGAATAGCCAGACTCAATCTCAGGTCTGCCAGAGCTCAAGCTTAAGACAGTGGTTAAGAATGGGGGCTCTGGAATTATATCACCTAGTTCAAATCCCGGCTCTACTACTTATTAGTTTATAGAACATACTTAACTTTCCTAAGCTTCTTTTTACTCAACTGTATAATGGGAACTATAACAGTGCTAATACCTCAAAGCACTGTTATATTAAAAGAGGCAATGTACATACAAGCCCAGAGCCGTGATATGGTTAACATTCTATATAAATGTTAGCTTCTTTTATTATCATTAATAACTATTACAATATAATATCTTTTCTGTCACACTAACATTTTGATATATTCCCTAACATTATAAATTATTTTGGAACCTCATTTCCTAGTTTGCAAGATGGAGAAACTAACTGCCTTACATATATAATAAGTCTTGCATTATGCCAGGCATGTAATGAATAGATGAAAATATCTGATCTCCACAAAAGTTAAATCAAGATCCATATATACATTCTCTCTTCTTTGCTAATATGGGCAGTAATCTCGGATTAAGATAAACCTCCTACAGCAGTGGGTCTCAACCTTGGAATTCTCTGAGGAACTTTTAAAAATTCTGACATAGTCCCACATCCACAGATTCTGATTTAATAGGTCTGGAGATGCAGACATATTAAACACTCCCTAGGTGACTCTAATACACAGGCTGAGAACCAGGTCCTAAGGTCTAAGATAGCAAAATGAGTCACTAGGCAACAGCCTTTACATTCAGGCACACTCAAATAAGAAAGGAACCATAACATAGTTGGTTATTTTTGTTTTGCCAGAAAGAGTAAAGAAGAGCTTATTTGGTTTTCATGTTTTGAAAAACTTGAACTTAACAGAGATAAACCAATCTTTGAAAAACATCTTAAGGAACAATTCAGGCATATTCTTTTAAACTTTAAAAAGTACTTGGACTGAAAACAAACTTTCATCTCTTATAAATCTCTCCAGATTTTTACAACATGTTCACTTAAGAGTCAATTTTTAGAAAGCAAAACTTTTCATTGTGCTTGTCTCTTAAGGAATAATTGGACTGGTTTTTCAGAGCTGAAAACTGTCATCGCTTTGTCTCGGACAGTGTTAAAATCAGCTAGAGAGTTTGTAAAACATGTCAATGCCCAAGGCCACATCTTAGTGTAGTACCTTGGGATTTTCCCCCCTTAAAAACAACTTTATTAAGGTGTAATTTAGACACAAAACACAAGCATTTAAGTGGAGAGTCCAATGAGTTTTGACAAATGTATGATCCTATATACATGACAAATGTATAATCACCACCACAATCATCACATACAGCATGCCACAAAGTTTCCTTATACCGCTATGCAAATTCTCTCACCCACCAGTACTGGTCCCTGACTGAAAATCACTGATCTTCTAGATTTCGTTTAGATAAAGACATAAAGTATGAGTCTTTGATGTCTGGTTCTTTCATTAGTGTAACACTTGAAATCCATCCATATTGCAGCTTCTACCAGTAGTTTGTATTTCCCTAATGAATACTACTCAGTATCTTTTCATGTGCTTATTGGCAATTCGTGTATCTGTTTGGTAAAGTGTGTTCAAATCTTTCTTTTTCCTACAAGTTGTTTGTCTCCTAAGTTATTTTGCAAATATTTTCCCCAGTCCAAATGGCTTGCTTTGTCAGTTTCTTGACAGTCTTTGAAAAAAAATGTAATGAATTTATCAATTTTTTCTTTTATGCTTCATGTTTTTTATGTGCCCTCTACAAGATTTTTTTCCCAACCTCCAAACATAAAGATTTTTCTCCTATATTTTCCTCTAGAAGTTTTATAGTTTAGGTTTTACATTCAGAGCTAAAATACATTTCATATTTATGTGCACGGTGAGTTAAGGGTGGAAGTTCATATTTAACATATGGAGGTCCAACTGTTCCAGCACTATTTGTTGCAAACACTGTCCTTTCCTCACTGAATTACCTTGGCACCTTTGTGTAGATCTTATTTCTAGATTCTGCATTTTATTCATTGATTTATATATTCCTATACTTACACGAGCACCAAATGGTCTTGAACACTTTAGCTTTACACTAGAACTCTGAAATCAGGTAGTTTGAATCCTCCGACATTAGTCTTCTTTTCAAAATTGTTTTGACTATACTAGGTCTTTTGCATTTCCATGCTACTTTTAGAATCCCCTTGTCAGTTACTGTAAAACAGACTTCTGGAATTTTTAATGGGATTGCATTCAATTTATAGATCAATTTGGGGGAAAACTGATCTCTTAACGATAATGATTTAAGAACATAATATATCTATCAATTTATTTAAGGCCTTTATTAATTTCTCTTAATGTTTTAGTTTTTATCATACAGGTCTTACATATATTTCATTAAGTTTATTCCTAAGTATTTCATTTTATGTTATTACAAGTTGTTTTATAAATTTTAATTTCCAATTGTTTGTTGCTAGTATACAAAATGCAATTAATTTTGTACATCGACCTTGTAGCCTGAAATCTTGCTAAGTTCACTTTTAGCTCTACCAGCTTTTTTGTAGATTCATTATGATTTTCTATATGCGATCATATCTTCTGCAAATAGACTATTTGATATTATCCTACATATTTGTTGTTTTTAGTGTTTTTCTCCATGCCTCATTTTGCATAGTTTCTACTGTTATATCATCAAGGTTGCTATTCTTCTAAAGTGTCAGTTTAGATATTGTATTTTTCATCTCCAGAAATTCTATGTGGGTTTCTCTTTTTTAAAAATATATATTACACTTCTCTCTCATGTTGATTTTCCTTTACCTTCTTGAACATGTGTGGCATTTATAATAGCTATATAATAGCCTTGTCTGGTAATTCCACCATCTTGGTCATTTCTGGGTCTGTCTCTATTGACCAACTTTTCTTTTAGTTATAAGTTATATTTTTTTTGCTTTTTTACATGACTTGTAATTTTTGGTTGGATGCTGATACTGTGATTCTTACTTTTTAGTGCATTGGATTTTGCTGACTCCTTTGAACAGTGTTGAATTTCCTGGAGTTCAGTTAAGTTACTTGAAATGAGTTGGATGCTTTCAAGGTTTGCATTTAAGTGTTAGGGCAGTCCAGAGCAAACTTTAGTCTAGGGCTAATTTGGCCCCATTACTAAGGGGACACACTTCTGAGGCCTCTTCTCAGTGTCTTGTGTATTACAAGGTTTTTCTAATCTGGCTTGTTTGGGAACATGAACTATTCCCATACCTGTGTTATTTCCAATAATTTCCAATAGTTTTTCTGCCTACTCCTCTCTGGTGGTTCTTTCTCCAATTTCAGATAGTTTCTTGACCACATGTACAGATCAGTACTCAGTCAGACTCAAGGGGACTTTCTGCAGATCTGCAGAACTCTGTCTTCTGTCTTAGTGTAGCTACCTCTTCTCTGTGGCCTCCCAAAATTCTGATCTCTCTCTATGCAGTGAGACTCCCAGGCTTTGTTTGGGTTCCACCCGGAAACTGCTTCTAGGTAGCAAGCCAGGACAATCAAAGGCTCACCTTATTTTAATTCCTTCTCTCTGGGGTCATAATCCACCACTGCCTATTGTCCAATGTCTGAAAACCATTATTTTTTGTATTTTTTTCCTGGATTCCTAACTGTTTTAGGAGAGAGAGTAAATCTGATTACTATTGCTCTAACTTGGCCAGAAGTGGAAGTCCATGGTTTCTTAATATAAGTTCTCCAGGTGATTCTAATGTGAGGTCAGTTTTGAGACCCACTGAGTCAGTAGCTTCCATTTCCTTAACAAAAATCTCCTTCAAGACAGCAAACTTTTTCCTGAGCTGAATAGTCCTGATGAGATTTGGAAGCTTGTGTCACAGAAGTTCCATGTCATGGTTAGCTAATATATTCAGAGAAACTTTTCACTAAAAGAAATGCCCAATACTACTTTGTGAAGAAACTAAGAAAACCATTATGCTTTGGAAGAGTTTCATTATGGAGACACTTAAACTGAAATATCTGAAATAAGATGCCACAAAAGAATGCTTTATAAACCATGGGGGTAGCAATAATGAATAATTTGGAAAAATCACCCTCTTCCTGAGGCATTCCAGAAAAGCCCTTTTTTTTTTTTTAATTTTTCTGTTACAGAAACCATTCATAAAAAGCATGTTCAATAGGAACAATACATAACCATCAATAAAAAATAGTCACAGAATTTTACTAGCATGACTTCTAAAATCATGGAATTTGTAAACTAAGTTAATAAGAACATACAGGTAAATACAAGCAAAACTTTACTTATTAGTAAAAAATAAGTTAAGATTCTCTTCAGTACCAGTAAATTTCATTTCTATATAGAGATTTCTTCCCATCCCTCCAGATATCCCTCTGAAACTTACCCTTTTCCAAATAAGATCTTGGAGCCCATGGAGGATCCTCTTCAGCGTAAGGATCACTATACTCAACCACAGCTGCCTCCTCCTCTTCATAATCTTCTGGGGGAGGAGGGGGAGGGGGGGATTCATCAAAGGCTGGTTCTTCCACAGGTGGTGGTGGTGGTGGTGTATCTGAAACTAAGAACGTATCAAGCTGATAATAACACTACACATTATACAAAGTTCAGTATTTCCTATCTAAGCTTCTACATTATGGAATATAATATAAACACAGATTGGAAAATAATCTATCAAAAAATGAGTGAGCAAGATAAGTTCCCCAACCAACTAGAATGTTCCAGTCTCCAAGTATAACTTTCTTGCTTCCCCATGGGTTAGTGCTTATGAATGCTGAATAAAGTTTTGTCAAAATAATTATTAACTGAGTGTCTGGAAACTGTTTATGCTAATATATAATCTGCTTCTTCAAAGAAAGAGATCAGTATAATATAGTTTGGGTTTACACGATATTCAACGAGGCGTGGTTTCAGGAATATTAATAACTGGGAGATTTATAACCATATTTAATTTATAACAAATTAAAATAAGTCAAATGAAATAAAATTTTAATAATCTACTTTCACTGAATTTTTTTCTCAATAAATTTTTTAAAAAATAGCATCTTACTAAATTAAATTAGCAGGGCAGAATCACAAACAATTTTCGGTAACTTCATCCATGAAAATATTTGTGTTGGTTTTGTTTCCTTATATGTAGAATTTCAACTAATTCAGACTAGTTTATGATGCAGAATTTCTTCAGGCTAAATATCCAAGAGTGATTTAAAATATTTTAAATGTCTCCTTACTGAGAACTGCTTTTACAACTCGGGTATCAATATATAATAATGTCAAAAACATCTCCAAACTCAGGAACTCAAAGCTTTCAAAATGCTTGGTACATACTTGAGTATAGCTCAACAAAATAAAATGAATAAAGAAAGCTACATTTATCAGTTGCACCATTTTAATGAATAGCATAAATTCTCTTCTAAGGTAACGGTATTGTTTCCGTGAAATTCTCTGAGCAATCTTGTTTATTTTCTATTTTTTATCTAAGTCTGATTCAATCAAATGGATTTTAGAAGACTGATGATACCTGGTGAAGATTATCCATATCAACATCTCTGCCCTATTTCAGTATTCTTCCCATCTGCTGTGCCACTCTGTACTTATCAACTTATCTACTTTATAAACTTCAAAACTTTAGTCATTAAAAATAATTTTTAGTCCTAATAGGTTTTTTAAATAAACGAAACCAAAAAAAATGTGATTTTTAACATATACTTTATGACAGATTATATATTGTTCGGGTAAAAATATATTGTCTGCATTTCTAAGGCTAAGAGATTGATTTCAAACAATTTCACAAAAACATACATCCAAAGAATGTATGTTTCTCAAAACAGTCACCTTGCGAAATTACACTACAAAATTACTCAAAAATGATGCCACTGCCTGTTTTTACCTTTTCTTATAACTGCCTCAGAGCCAGTTTGATAAGACTAACAAAAGCTACCATTTTATTGAAAACATTCCAATTATTCAGCTAGCACTTTACATCATTTAATTTTTACCTTGAGAGGTGGTATTTTTAATCCTCATTTTATGGATGTGGAAACTGGCTTTCCAAGATTAAGTAGTCCTACAGTAAGTAAGTGGAAGAGCAGAAATTTGGACTCCAATGTTTGTTATCTTAAAACATTGGGATGAGAGAAATCCAATAACTTTAATGTTTCATTATTATTCATTCAACAAACACCAACTGAAAGCCTACTATTGCTAGGTACTATGCTCAGCACTGGAGATAGAGCAGTGGGCAAAAATCTTGTAGACATGGATGACCAAACTTTCATTTATAAGTAAGTGCAGGAAGTACTTTACGTCATTATGGAAAACACAGCAGTAGACCAAACCTCTTACATGGGTCAGGAAAGGCTTCCTGAATCCTGAAGGATGAGTAAGAGTTAATGGCCAGGGGGAGGGATGGAGTTGGGGGGTGGGTATTTCATGTCAGATGTAAAGAAAAAAAACCAAAAAGGTAAGAAAGCAGGAACCCTTCAAAGAACTAACTGAAGTTCAGCAGAAAAAGGCATGAGGAAGCTGAAGAGGACTAAGCAGGAAGGGCCATGCAATAGTCTGAACAATATGCAAAGAGTGACAGGGAGCCATAGACGGGTTTTAAGAAGAATAATAAGATCACAGCTACCAACTTACTGCAGTACAACTGGTTCCAAATAATTTCAGACCTCTTTGAAACATAATACAGAGTGATTATCTGCTACCACAGTGTATCTTCAAAGTTATGAATTTGAAAGCTATGAAGATAACCCCAAAAGATAAGTATATATCTTTCTGAGGTGAATGTTTTGAAGAGGACAATGTTCGTTTGAATAGATGTCTTGCTATGTCTGTAAAATCGGCCACAGCACACCTCATACACAAAATTTCTGACTTTCATACATTTTGTAGGTGATAAATGTACATGACTATGAAAATAAATGAGAAAAGATATCCCAAAAGGCAATCACTCTGTGGTAAACACTGGAGGTGCTCATGAAGTACCCTCCAATAAACAGAAGTAACATAGGCCATTTTCAGAATTTTGCAAATAGAGATGCAAAGGCACCTGAAAGAGACAATGAACCCTCAGTCCAGTAAGACTGAATTATAACCAATTAAAATAAAAAAAAAGGTGTCAATTAAAAGGTGGCATTTAGTTAGCTGGGAAAACACAAAAAAAGAGGGACAGAAAGTGTCTGCTGTGTGTCAAATGCTTTTCTAAGTGCTAGGGAAACAGCTCATGAACAAAACAAGCAAAATCCCTGCTCTCACGGGGCTTACATTCTAGTCTAGGCAATGCCCATCTCCAAAGCAGCAAGAGTCTTAAATAACTGAGTGCAAATATTTCTATCCCGCTGGTGAGGCCATCCCTGTTATGATGTGCATACCCTGGGCTACTTCAGACTGATGATTAAATCTTTCATTAACATAATTTCCCTTGTTCAGATTCTATCATGCAACCTTATGATTATGATGTGGTTCCTCATGTTGACTGTTCACAAGAAGAAAATCCATCTCCCATACAGACTATGTTCACTGGTCTCTGTAACAGCAATTTCTCACTGAATGCTGATACAGGCTTCCTGCTTTATAGACATCAGTTTCCCAAGCTTCCTTAATACTTCCCTAGGAGAAGACTCAATGTGTCAATAAAATCAGTTACCTGAGCCTGCATGGCTCAACACTAGCCCACTGGCCAATGTGAGTTCACTACAAATCTGTGAGGCTTCTTGGGAAACACAATTTGGCAATCTGGTTCCCAGGGTATGGCCACTTTTATATCTGGAATCACAGGACTGACGGAAGATTCTCAGGCCAGCACGAAACCTTAAAACTCCAGTGATAGGAAACTAGACTACCTGAGCATCCCAGAGAAAAACATGGGCTATCTGGTGATTAGGCAGCATCTCATCAGATGTGATATTTTCTTACATGTGCCTTATTTTATATTTGTCTTTTCTTCACTACCAGATTGTGAGTTATTTGAAGGTAGAGAATTTCATCTTAATTAGCTTATCATCCCTACTAGCTGCTCATACAGTGACCTGTTCATAATATTCAAATATTTAAAGTATTAGTGAATGACTATTTAGCCAATCATATATAAATGACATTTTATGTCTATAATCTGATCTACAGCATAAAGAAGACATAAACTTACTATTTTCTTGGACTCTGGCCACAAATCCCATTAAAGGTAACTGAGGAGTTACCTGTAGAATGGAGGGAGGAGGAGGAGCAAGAGATACTGCAAAAACAAAAAAGGTGTGGAGGATAAGGGATAAGGGCGAGTTACATCAAAAGGAAAGGATAATACAATAAAACGAACATATAAGGAGGGAAAGCACTATGCACAAACATTTTATAAGATATATTAAAGATCCTCTTTTGAGGGATAATTTATTAACACACAAAATAAATATTAGGGGAGTTTTAAGGAAGTTTCAAAAAATTACAACAGGAAGCATATATCATTTACAGATCTACTCTAACACATAACAGCAAATTGATCTTTTCATATCAATAACAACATGTGTTCTCAAAGAATTTCTTCAGATTACCATGAATAATTTACTTTCCTGGATTTTACCTTGATGATTACAAGTTTAATGTTCATCAGTACAAGAGAAAAAAACAGTACATTCTAACATCCTAAATTCAGACTTTTCAAAACTTCATTAATAGGCAAACTGACTGGTTCTTCACTTAAATATTGATTGGTTCTTCATTACTTAAATATTGACTGACTTCCTAACTAAGTGACAAGTACTCTGCTAGGAAACCAATATCAAAATCATTCTGAGAGTCAGGTCTGTGTCATTAAAATTCTTCACAATCCTAATTCAAACCACCAGCTCCAACAGGTATAGTTCCTCCCTGACCCTACAGAAAAATGCTGGCCTCATTCCAATCACTTTCCTCTCTTCCTCAAGGTGTCTTTCCCTTCATCTGAAACACCTAGTACCGTACCTAGTACTAGTAAGCCTTCAACAAATACCTAATGTATGTATATATACAAATAAGCCAGGTATGTGCTGAACAATTTCCCAAGGTTAACTCTGCAGTTATAGTTTCCTTCAGAATGTCAAGTATGGCACACATCTTATGAAGAGAGAACACCTTTATTAGCTCCAAACTATAGTTAGGACTAATAAAACTAAAAAGATAGATGAATAAAAGTCAGTGTCCTCAAAGAGATCACATTCTACCTGGCAGCAGAAGACAAAATAGAAACCTTAACCCAACAATATTTGTAGCAATTCCATGGAGGTGGCGATGGTGTGGTGTGAGGGTGGTAGGAGCAGTGGGGGTGGAAGTAGTGAGGAAGGCTATACAGAAATGACCTCTGAGCAGGTACCTGAAGAAAGAGAGATGGATAAGCAGACAAGGGCTGAGAAAGATAAGATGAGAATCAAGTGAGAGCAGATCTTAGAGGTAACCAGCTCGCAGGACCGGAGCTGTTTCCACATGGCTAGCCTCGGATACCCCAGAGAGAGAAGCACAAAACTGAAAAAGGTGACTGAGTGGATATGAAATAGGGAAGGACCTTATATGTTAGGTGAAAGAGTGCTTAGTGGAAAGAGATTGGACTTAAAAGTCACTCAGCGTCAAATAACCTGATTCATTCTTTCCCTGATGTTGGAACAGCAAGTCAATTAACTTCTTTGTACCTAATCCATAAATGTAATATAAAAAAAGAGATAATGCAACCTACTTTACAGAGTGGATGCAAAAAATAAAAAAGGCATGCAGAAAGTCTAACCCGGGGCCTGGCACAAAAAAAAAAAAAAGAAAATCAAGGCAGTAGAAACAGAAAGAAAAGGAAAGAACTTGTTAACAATGTTGAAAAAGAGTACTTGGTAACTAAGGATTTAGCTAGTACAATGAAGGATGGCAACAGCTAAAGATGGTTTTTACATTTTTAGCCTTCACAACCATGAAGGTAGAGGTGCTGCGAACCACATTAACCTTGTGAAGAAAGAAGTACAGGGAAATGGGATGGTAAATAAGCATGTCAGGGAGAGATAGTATGATAAATAGGGTGCGTGAAAGTGACTGAGGCATAAATATGGAAAGCAACTTGAGAGTTTTGGGTTGAGAGACAAAGAGCTACCAGTAGAGATAAAACAACTGTGCTGTAGGTAAATGCAGGGAGAACATATGTAATGTGTAGGAAGAGGTAAGCAGATAATCCTGAAGAATATCTGTATTTAAAGGACAGAGTAGTATAACCCTAGAAACTGGTACCTTTCCCTAAGTGGTACTTCTTGGTAGTAAATCCTTAAGTTGTCTGTCTCCCACACTCAGAGGCTTGAAGCAATTGTTATGTTTGCAATACTCTGTGTTTCCCAAACTGAGGTAAGAATAAGACACAATAAACAGAGGAAGTAGAAGAGACAAAGCAGATAAAACCGCAGCAAACAGCAACTGGCGCTAGAAAAGTGGAGATTACGTGTGAATATTCATATCAAATAAGATAAAAGCTCTTATCCTGTTAATACCCCTCCAGACTTCCCCTGCAACGGAAAAGTAAATTTCCCACTTAAGTCATTGTTTCACATCCAAAAAAAAGACCTCCAGCACTCCAAAAAATGAATGATTAAGTGCTTAACAGAATAATCTCTTTGTAGGTAGGCTGAGTTTATTATTATTTTTAAGATGAGTACGTTTTTTGGTCTAGTTCTGAAAATGAAAATATGAAGCCACTGTGGTTTTAAGTTCACAGGCAGCAATCCCCGATCTCCTTGAAATAGAATAATTTTATAACGAAACAAGTTAGATTTTTTTCAAAGCCAGTCCAATGGATGTTAAAAATTCAGTTCCAAATGCAGTTTACAAAGGTCACCATGAATTCTACTTATTTTTGCTCGGGACAAACCTTTTATATGATGGTCCAAATTAATTCAGATACTACAGAACTTTCTTTCTGGACCATGTAAGAATTCATCTGACCAGAACTCCTGTGAACCAGAACATCCTACTTTAGACTAGATTTATCTTCCTTAGAGTTGAGTTGAAAATGAACTCTCCTAGAAGAATTTAAGCAGGGTTTTGATATGAAGATTTGTTTGCAATATTCAATTCTAGTCTTAGGTATCTCTTAAACAGGCAAGAATAAGAAGTAACTATAAACTTTTCACTCCATTTAGCTAGGATGATTCTTCATATAACAAGATCCTTTCCCTATAACCACCAAAAGATCTCCAAACTTAGATTTCATAATATTATGCTCACAATACACAATAATGAAGTTAATATGAAGACAGGCTCACCAAGTGACTGGAGTTTACAACACAGAGCTCTTAGGTAGAACAGCTGTAAGAACTACAGCTATGTGCACATAGCAACATGTAGATACATAAACAGTAAAAGGCTTTGCAAACAAACCAAACTTAGAGGATGAGTCCATACTGATGAAATATATATAGTCTTTCTAAGCATGATCCTCCTGGTGATTATAAAATCCTTTGGAGCATAATCTTTGAGGCTCAGGGTTTTAAAATGTCCAAGTCAAAGAGTTTAAGGAGAAAAAAGACCTTTACATCTTATTTTTACAGCTTTATAAATGCTGAGAAAATCAGGCAAAATAAACATCAAATACTACTACAAAACCACTAAAGAATATCACTTTTAGAGGCTATAATTGACAGCCCATTCAAGTTGAAGGAAATAATTTAAGCAATTTAAGAGTGAAATATTTTCTAACATTAATAACAACTTAGAACAAGGAATATTTAAAAATTAATTTAGCTAATCATATTCAGTAAGGGGAGCTTTTTTGACGGAAAAGAATATGGTTATCGAATAATTATTAGTCCTATAGTCTCAGAAGGGTTAAAAGAATTGGATCATTTTTGTTATTCCTCTGCAAGTAAAAAAAAAAAGTCACCATATACTATTATGCCTAGAAAAAGTAGCAAATTAAGACAAGTTTAAAAACAACTTGTGTTTAATAATCAGTGTAAAGCGTCTATTTGGTATACCTGGTCATCTAAAAATATACTTTTCAGTTGCTTTCTTGCTTTTTTGTTCTCTCTAAACATTCTTTAACAAACTCTAAAGACTGCCTAAAATGAGGATTTAAAAACAGCCTCTTACTACTGCTCTTTATTACACTTTGCTAAAGCCCCACCAAATCTGTATTCTTCTGGGGATTTATGGTAATGCTGTAACTTAATTATTCTTTTAATGTGTTATGGCTTCTCTTCTGCAATATCGCCAACTCAATATTGTTTTTTTTTTTTTTCAGTTGCTTTTAACAACATTCAGGGTTTAAAGAATGACATTTCCCTGTGTCAAACACCATACTCATTCAGAAATTCCTCCATCTATTTACAGACACATATCTTAGAAATAACATTCCATCCACTTTGTGAATTAAAATCTTTTAAAAAAGTTTTTGTTGTAAGAAAATACGAACAGTAAAATGCAGGATTAACTTCTACCAAAGGCCTGAGTACTTAAATACCACATATTGATTCCTTATTGTTATGAAATTTTCTTTGCCACCAAAGTGCTTCATATTTATATTTAAAGTAAAAACCTGTGATTAGCCTTATTTGTTTCAATGATGTTCCTTGCTGCTGACAAGATAAATGGTAAATTGGTGTTCCTATTTCTTTGGCTGGATTAGATTATGAAACAATGAGAATCAAAGAGGTTTCAGTTATGCACTGATCAGTGTTCCTTTCATTAATTTGTGAAATAATCACATTAAAAAACAATTATTGTGCTCCTAGGACTTGGCACTAGACACTGGGTGTTCCATATTTTAATTCCTATGTTGTAATGCCCTTTTTCAAACGCAAACCAAATATAATAACAGTGCTGCTAGATTTATACCTCACAGAAAAGCCCACTGAATTACATTCATATGAATCCCAGGCTGCCAGCTCACTTCTTGAGAAGCACACATAAATGTCAAGCCTCTAACTGCAAAAAAAATTTGCTTATAAAACACACACCTGGGATAATTTTGTTCAAGCAGGTTATTAGCTACTTGAGAAATCACAACAAATTTTCTCATTTTAAATATGAACAGGGACCACTGTAAGTGGAGTAATACAAGAAACATATAATCTAAAGCAAATAAAGAAGCATCTAATAGCCATAAAACACTGGTTTGCAAGGTATTATGTCCTGTAAACAAAGCTTTTCAAAGAATGTGATTTAGTAAAAAAAAAAAAAAAAAATTTAGAGAAAGCACTGATTAATCAACTAACAGAGCTGTAGTTATCCTCTTTAAACAGTTACCAAATCAGAACTTAATCCAGAGGAGCACATGAAACAAAACGAAACAACTCAATTGTCTCACACATTATGCTGAAGGCTCAATAACCTCAATTCACAGACTTTCATTAAATTATTCCATAGAGTATATATTTCTTTCAAGTATGTTAAAATCAAATTTACAAAGAAAGAAGTATTGAAATAGATATTTTAAACACATTTAAATATGTGCTTAAACGACCTTTATATAATTTCCACTAAAGGGTTCTCATAAGACCCTGTACATGTACAAAGCATGAAATATCCTTGTACATACTTTCTGTATATCATGCACAGTTGGTTCTAAGCTGTTAACAGTGAAGCATCTTTCGGCTCCATTACAGAACCAGTCCATTTTGGACTGACATCATTCTTTCAAAACTCTTTGCCAAGATAAGGGAAGGCAAAACAGCTCAAAACCACAATTGTCTTGACTTCTAAGAGGGCCAGGGAGAGAGCTTACCTTCAGAACTATGAAGCAACCCACATCTAAAACTATAATTTAAAAATTAAAAAAAACAATGCATTTAGAAACAAAATAAATCTTATACAAATATGGGTTTGGAAAACATGATTTAAAAGAGAATGTATGAAAAATACCGATAGTTACAAAGAACGGCACAACCAAAATCACTGATTAAAGACAGCAGTAAGAGTACATATATTTCAAGTGAGGCAGTGGGTAATCACACTACAGGGAGCACTTGGCTAGACTATAAATATGGCATTTAATTTACAAGAAGGACCCAAAACAGTGAAGTAATTTGAATAAAGGAACAACGGATTCATTCCTCATTCAACAAATAATTACTGAGCACTATTCCCAGGATATAACTGTATAAAAGACAGACAAGGTCTCAGGCTCTCATGTAATTTACATTACAATGTAGGCATCCTCCTCCCCAACAAATAGAAGGCTTGGGAAGGTAGGAGAAAGATTTTTTAAAGTCTGAAGGTAGGTAGGATAGTGCAACAGAAAGGACAGAGAACTTAAAAAGATGATCTAAGTTCAAATCCTAACTTGACCATCAACTCAGCCTCAGTTTCCTCACCTGTAAAATACTGATGAAAATAATTACATGATTATAAGACTTAAATAAGATAACAAATATAAAAGCATTCTTTAAACTGCATTTATGAAGAAGGATGATCAAATTTCTTCCGCACGACTCCAAAAACATAACAAAGTTTCACCAAAAGGTAGTAGCTGTAGTAGACAGAGTTCAGCTCCATAAAATTACAGGTCTAATCAAAGATAAAATGGGCTGTCCCCTAATATTAAAGGGCTTACTGGCCTCTTGACAAAAATCCAAAACCACAGTGACTTGACATACCATGTCCACAATAGTCACAGAGTCTAGGATTTGCTCTTAGCCTCTTTGGGAAGAAGCAAAAATAATAAGTATGTATAGTATTAAATATGTGCCAGATTGTTTTCTGCATACATGATGCAACTGAAAGATGATTGTTATAGCTGAATCAATCTGTCCAAGTCCCAGTTTTCCCATCATAGGTTTGGTATGAGAACTGAATAAGTATAACTACCTAGCACAAAGCAGCTTCAAAAATGTCATCTCTCTTTTATTTGCCACTTATAAACTCTTTCCATGTACACTCAATTTTCATTACCTGCTACTCAGACAGCAAGGATATCTGGTTAAACAGGAAATATTGTTTACCACAATATTATTTTTTAAAGCAAGTAATCATTATCTTATTCAAAAAGATTCTGTTCAGAAAAATTAAGTTCTACAACTTTATATGGAAACCATGTATTTTTTTAAAATGAAAAAGTGGAGAATACGGTATTAGCAATTTCCATTCATTCAAAAAATAGTACTAACCACCTTCCTTGTGCTAGTTTTTAATCAGATATATTCCATAGAATACAAAAAATATCTAACCTGGATTCTGGCTATAAAAAGGGCCTCCGTTCATCTGATTCTGAAGGCTTGTTTGTGAAGTTATGGAAGGAGGGCGTCTATAGGGCAACGAGCCCCCTATTGTTGGGGGAGTATGGCGAGAGGCAGGTCTATTCATGCTATAGAATTGGACAGGATGACCTGGAAAAGAGAACATAAATTTGTCATTAAAAGAAAATTACCTCAGACAATGAAATATTTTAGGTACGATGCCTGAGTCTTAAAAAGATTATTAAAAATAAAAATGTTTAATTAGTTATCTAACAAATGCAAGGTGACAGTTATCGCTCAGCTGACCCTCTATCAAAGTGCAAAAGCGAGAAAGTAGATAAATAAAATTATGATTAGGTTTGGAAAAGCTAAATAGATTACAATATTATGATTTTATTAATTTAATAATTTGACAGTTTCAAAATCATCACAATTAAAATTTATGGCTTACTTCCTCCCCCTCACAAAATAAAATCCATTAAACACTAAAAACTAAACTTGACAAGATAAAAATGACACAGGGAAAGCAAAAGAAAAAATGCTTGACACACAGTCTTATTCCAAATTAATAATAACAGTACATTTAAGGTAGCAAAGCTATTAAAGGAAAACAAAATATTTCCAGCAAAAGGTCAAGTGACATAATTCTAAATCAAACACATCTTTATTCGATCAAAGACATCCATGTTTAAAACTAGATTATTTTGTCTTTAAATTAGAGTTTAAGAAATTTACAATTATAAAAAAGCTGATATAAAAAGTGAATCAAAATATCTCATTTTTAATTTCATCCTTGAACTTGTACATATTTATCAGCAATTTCACTGTATTTTTGCTCTCTGAAAATACTTTAGTAGCTAATGACAACTGAAGACACGCTTTCCTAACATACCCAATTTCCTAATGCAATCCAGTTCCTAAATTTTATCTTGACTCCATCCCCACTTAAAAACACTCAGTGGAAGGCCTAATGTTAGAGACAGACAGACAAAGCACTAGGGATCCCATGAGAGGTCATTCCATCAGGCAAGAGTGGGGAGGGAGGAGAAGGAGATGCGAGCGGAGGGGAGGAAAAAGAGACAAGGAGAGAAGAGGAGGTGGTAAGAAGTGTCAAGGGAAGAAAGCGGGGAGGAAGGAGAGAGGATAAAGGGAAGAGAAAGAAAAGGAGAAAGGGCAAGGGAGAATGGAAGGAAGGCAAAGGGAAAAAAAAAGCACTTTTGATAATATTTCATCTTACTCATGATTGCAAAATGGTTTTATGTGACTAAAACTGGTCTTCAGGAACTCTATAAATTTATCCTACTTGAATTCGTATGAACTCGTATAACGAATAACATAAAAGCACTCAAGATCTGCTATACCATTTAATCTTCTTACATATGAAAATATCAAAACCTAAAAATCAATTCTGTTGCATAAAAATCTTGAGTATTCAGTTTAAACATAATCCACTATCAAGTCTCTGCAACCATGATGAAAAATGTAAAAACATAAAAGAGACTGTTTATACTATTTATAGGCGTTTACTTCGCTTTGGGTTGAAAACCAAAACAAAATAAAACTACAGTTTAATTACTATAGACCTAACCATATAATCTAAAAAAAAAACCTTCTGGAAGAAAACAGGACAAAATATTTATAACCTTATGTAAGGTAAGGAGTTAGTGAATATGACACCAAAACCATAATCCACAAAAAAAAATAAATTCAGTGAACTAGACTTAATCACAATGAAGAACTTCTGTTCTTTGAAAGACACTATTAAGAGAATAAAATGTCACAAACTGGAAGAAAATATTTGCAAATCACATAATTAACAAAGGACTTGTATTCAGAATATAAAAGAACTAAATGATAAGAAAACAAGCAACCCTATTTTAAAGCAGGTGGGGGATGACAAAACATTTGAACAGATATTTCTCCAAAAGATAAAAAGATGGCAAAGAAGCACACGAAAAGATGTTCTACACCATTAGTCATTAGAAAAATGCAAATCAAAACATGTTGTACACCTATCAGAATGGCTAAAGTTAAAAAAAAAAACTGATAATATGAAGTGCTAACAAGTATTCAAAGCAACTGGAAGTCTCATACACTGCTGGTGGTGCGCAAAATTGTACAGCCCCTTTGGAAAACAATTTGAAGATGAACTTACCATACTACCCAGCAATCTTACTCCCTAGGTATTTACCCAAATTAAATGAAAATTTACGCTCATACAAAAGTCTGTGTGTGAACATTTATGGCAGTTTTATCCATAATCACCCACAAATATAAATAATTTAACTGTCCCTGCACTGGGAAAGGGACAAACTGTGCATATCCATACAGTAAAACACCCAGTAATAAAAAGGGACAAAATAACGAAACATTCAACGACACTGGTAAATCTCAAATGCACTGTGCCAAAACACCAGAACCAAAAAAAATATCAAGTGATTGTCAGGGGCTAAGAGTGAAAGGGAAGAACTGACTACAAAGGGGGCACGGAGGAAATTTAGGGATGGCAGGACTGTTCTATATCTTGATTGTAGTTGTTGTTACATCATTGCCTACATTTCAAAACTCACAGAAATATAAACTAAAAAGGGTAAATTTAACTGTACACAAATTACACCTTAATAGAAAGAAAAAAGTACTTGGTGATTCAAAGACACTGTTTAAAAAAGATTATAAACATATAAATTGTTATTGAGGCATTTACTATCCTGCTTTTTGTTAAAAAAAAAAAAACAAAACTAACTATAATTATCCACTCATACAATAAATGTTTATTCACTGCAGACTATGAACCAGCACCTGTTATTAAATTATAATCATGCTGACTCTTGGGTGAGAGATGTCCTTTCTGGGCCTACAATTAACTGATTTCAAGATGTATTCTTTACCCTATTGATGTAAGAGCATAACTAGATTCCTATAACATAACATAACATAACATAGTTATGTTATTTCTATATAACTATGTAGGAATCTAGTTATGCTCTTGCATGGCCAGTCTGGCCTAAGAGAGTTATATGAACATTGAAGAACAGCCCATGTTTACATTTACCCACTGTAGAAAGCTTTTCTTAAAAAGTGCTATTATAGAAGCTATCCCATAAAACACCATCCAAAAATCTATCTTAACTAAAAGTGTCTTTTAATATTTAAACATCTGGTTATAGCAGCAGAGCTGAATATATATTCTATGAAGTATTTGACAAGCTACAGTGATGTGTGTCCAAATACATTTTTATAATAGATAAGAACTTATTTACTCATCACCATTAACTTTATAAAAATATTTTGTAGCAATTGAGCCCTTTTCTCCTTCTATCAAAAAACAGATTTTAGGTTGCAATTTTAAAATACTAAAACAACAATCAACCTTAAGTAACACATAAGTAAACCTGAAATTCTTAAAAAGTTCACTACAGAGACTTTCGGACTATTATATCAAATATTTCCTATAAAATCTATTTTAGAATTCTTATCATAAACTATTCTTTCTGCGAATGACACCTATAACAATATTCTAACGACAACTTTTCAAAACTGTACAGAAGACAGCTCCATACTAAATTCACAAATCTCTAGTAAATGAATTTCAAGGAATAAAAAAATGTATATTTATGCTACTCTTTTGGAAAGATGTATGGGAAATTTTACCCGGATTTCCTCCAGATATTCTACTCTTTGATCAGATGCCATTTTCTATTTAGTACGTTCTTCTTCATGTTTAAATAAATAAATACAAACAAACAACAGTCACAAAGCCACAGTTCCAGGTAGGATAGGAAAGAACCAGATGACTGGATTTGCCTCTCAAGGAATAAGCCAGTACTCACCTGCAGGGGGAGTGGAAGAGACAACAGGGGGAGTTGGAGAAGTGAAGCCATCAGCAAGGGTCTGGGCACCCCCAGCAGCGGCATCTGGGGCAGTGGAGGAAGGGACAGTAGCAGGAACAAGAGGGGCAGGGGCAGATGCAGAAGTAGCAGGAAGGGGAGGAGTACCAGCAGAGCCAGCAGGGGCTAAGGGGAAAGAGGAGTAAGAGGCAGCATTAATGAGGCAATCCCATTAGGCAGGATTAGTAAAGGCACTAGAGAACTAATGTTAGATATTCAAATGATTAACAGTAACCAAAGAATAGAAGAGAGTGTTAAAAAGGAGAGCAAGAATGAAGCTCATGTTAAAGGATTATCAGGTTTGCAGCAAATAATTCATGATGCCAGGGTAATGTGTAGATTTTTAAATTCATTAAAAACAAGCATCCCTTTTTACCTGAAAGCCACTACTCTGAAAGAAAACTGCTCTTTTATATTGTAATGTTTAGCATAACATTTTGTAACTAGCATATGAAACTAAACATAATACACTAGGAAATACCAGTATTCCATTCTGAATTATACAAGTCAGAAAAATAAACATATATTCTAAACATAAATATCTTAACAGGTAAAAAAGTATTGAGAAAAATCTCTTTTAAATGATTTTTAAAGTGTATTATCTATTAGGATAACTAATTAAATATGTAATAATCCACCTCTATGTCTTTTATGTCATGTCTTTAAAACTAAATTTTAACTTTGGAATCCTCAGATTAAATAAGCACATTTCTCTGTTTCTGAGAATAGAAGTAACATTTCAGAGACGATTGAGTTCCAATAGTCCATTAAATTTAACAGTCAAAACTTTGATATTTGTCTAATCTTTTGTTACAAATATGATTCTCAACACTGAGTCTCCATTGTGTCCAAAGGCACACACTGTTGTAATTCTAGCTGGAATTAAACATATAACTAGTATCAATGTGGTGCCTGAAACCTCAAAGCACCAAGTGAGCCACAGCACCAAAGACATAAAACCAAACAACAGAGATATGTGTGGGCATGCAGTTACAAATTGGTTAAAATAACAAATGCGTAAAGATTTCGCAACATTTATGGAGTCCTAAAGGAAAGATAAATCCTGATTATAAAGAAAACCCACTGTAATTAAATCAGAAGTTGAATTCAAATTCAGACAGGATAAGTGAAGATGAAGCACCATTTATATTTTACCTGGAAAGACACTTGGAGGAGAGGGAGTAGGAACAGCAATGGGAACGCCCACACTCCCACTTCCACTGTTCTCCCGACTGCTGCTCCGACTACTTGGGTGGCTTCCTCCACTACTCCCACTGCTGCTGAAGAGATAAGAGCCACCAAAACAGA